ACTGTATGTCTGCCTTCACGCTCGCTGTGGCTGGCAGCGAGGGCGGGCAGTCGGGGGCGGGCGGCGGGGATCCGCGATCACACGAGGCGCACCGGAAATGAAGCGCCGAAGATCCGAAATCCCCTAAATGAAGCTGCTCAAGAACTGATGCCATACGGTTCAGCATTGCAAGAGACTCGTCCGGCTTATCAAATGGTACCTGCGCCCATGTCAGCATACCGCCTCGAACATCCTTAATAGGGCGTACCAGATGACCAGCGCCATATAGAGTCGCCCAAGTCAACGTTCCCGCTTTCCTCGTCTCTCCCGCAACCTCGCCGTTCACAGTCCAATTGCGCGTCTTGGCCGCTAAGAAAGACTCGCTGCCCGTCCACTCCAGCTGGCTGATCCATTCCCATCCGCCGAGGTGGTTGCAGCTAAGATCTACATACAGCCACTTCCGTCAGTCGCAGCATTATAAAGCCCGCGCGTACTGAACGCACCGTCAATACCCGTATATATGAGTATCCGTACCCCACGCTCGAGCAGCGCTGCAACGTGCGCAACGGCAGTACGTTCGAGATCTAAGCCTTTGAACATGAAGGCGTTCAGGACGTCCAGGCTCTGATCTTCAAAGGGTGGTGGGACGGAAGGGTCGACGCCGAGCATCTCGCGGACGTCGGGGCGGGAGAGGTACTCCATAATTGCGCTAGAAGCGGCGTGTGCTGAATGAGCCATTTTTCAAGCGAGGGGGATGGAAAGTGTAGCTTACGCCTGTGCGGGGTAGCAGTTCGGGTGGTTCGGGCAGGGCTTGGCGACGTTGTATTGGTTGAACTCTGTCAAGGCGTCGTGAGCGGGCTAGCCGTATGCAGGGGGGAAGATGACGAACTGTAGGTATCCGAGAGCGTCATGAACTCATCGAAACAGTACGAGATGGCGTATTGGCAGTTCATCTCGTCCAGAACGTCCTTGCAGCTCTCTTTGACGAGCTTCCTGCAGAGCTTCGCCTATGTGGGTCTACGGTCAGCGGTGATGTTCACGTTGAGGAGGTGATACGGGCGTACGGCCTTCTTGAGATGGATGCAGGTGCTGTAGGAGTGTCAGTCAAGGGTTTGAGGAAATGTAGCTGGATGACTCACCTGACGGGTAAGAACGGCGTCGCGTCCGTAGTGTGGGTACAAGCGAAGTCGTAGTATGATGCAAGCATCGAGTGGCTATCTACGAAGCCATTTCCTACACGCCGCAACCTCAGTCAGTGTCACGTACAACGTATGAAGTGACAAAAGCATACCAATGATGAGAGATGACAGGTTGATCGGCGTCAGCCCGGCATCGATGAGTTCCGCATTCTGGTCGTAGATAGCGGCGCCGTACAGCGGTAGATACCGTCCCTGGAGGGTGTATCTCAGCGCACACGTAACCTCGGGGAAGAAGAGACGCACCGAGTACGACTCTCCGCTCAGGTGGAATCCACGCCCCTTGAACTGCGGGAAGTTCTCGAAGAACAGCACCATGAACCGAGCGATATCCACCGCCCCCTCCTCTGCCGAAGACACCGTTTCTCCATACTCCGCATAGCTGTACCCGACGCCGACAGGCTGGTCGATAAAGAAGATGTTGGCGTTTGCGTTCCAGGATTGCTTGAAGGGATGTGGCCCTTCGGTCGCGTTCGTGATGCGGCATGGGCCGAGCTCCATGAAGAGACCCAAAGACGAGGATGCGCCGGGTCCGCCGTTCGACCATAGGACGACGTCGTCTTGACTAGGATCGTTGCGGCTCTCGAAGAAGTAGAAGAAGAGGTGTCGGGCTTGGACGTCGATGTATCCCGTGTACGCTCTGGTCGCCGCGCAGGTCAGCTGGGCATGACGCGCCGGTACATATACAGTTCGCCGCACCCGACCTCCTCATCGCACCAGTTCTCGAGTCGCTTGATCCGCGCGCTATATCCGGGGTAGAGTGGGTGCGAGAACGTCGTGAACGCGTCCGTACGCGCGACCTGTCTGAGTGTGCCGACTGGAGGAACAAAGCCGTGGTATGTAGTCGGATCCGCGTCAGCAGTGTTCGAGTTGCCCATCATGGGCCATTGCGAGCAGGCCACAGACGCAGTCAGCCCAAGGAGAGATATGACAAGGCTCGGAAACATGCTGGACGTCGGACGCAAGTCAATCTGTCCGTTGGTCGCCGGGTCTTATAACGGCGCTACCGCCATACATCTACTCACGCGTACCAGCTGCGGCTGAGCGCTATGGAGCTGCGAAGTAGGGACGGGGCGCTCAGGGCGATCTTCATGAAGAGGTACGGCGATGCGCCGCAGTGTAAATGCATGGTACGAGTACATCATGGCGGTCAAGTTCCAGTACGGGTCTTGCCGCTCTCGAAGGGAGGCGCCAATGGGATGATGTTGAGATGTGGTTTAGGCGTAACGCGGCCGTGTCGCCCGACGGCGATCCGAACGAGTCAACTCTGACGCTCATGTTCTTCTCGCGCTCCCAGCAGTCGATACGGCCTTCTCTTGCCATATTATAATCAAGAGAGTAGCGAACAGTATGCTGGTCAAACAATAGGACAGCCAGCGAGCCAACCCGCAAGTCGCCGCAAGGCACTAATTTCCGGGACCCGGAACGGAGCGCTGCAAAATGACCTCGCCGCCTCGGAACTTGTGTAGATCTATATAACGCTCCTCTTCCTTCCGTTGGGACTGGTTATCTCTCGAAACGCACTTCTGACTCCTACTACCATCATGGCCGTCGAGAACGCTGAAAAGGCCCCACTCACCACCAATGGCGCACCCATGCCGGCCGTCGATGTCAACCTGCTCAAGGAGGGCGTACCCCATCTCGCTGATCTCGACGTACGCCGTGCTCACCGTTTTTCTTTACTGTTTGATGCTTACTACTATATTGAAATGTAGCCGGCGAAGTTGAAGATTAATCTTACGACCTCACCGAAGCCGATCCCACACGAAGATGATTTGATCTTTGGCAAGGTGAGCGTCTACTGTGCGTGCTTTAAGTAGTGGCATAACCGGCATTGTCTATGTGCACCCCGAGCCATGATATTTGAATGCTGACCCATGTCTACGTAGCACATGGCCGATCATATGCTCATCGCAGAGTATACACCGGAGCACGGCTGGGGCGCACCAGAGATCAAGCCTTTCGGCCCGCTCACCGTCGACCCGTCTGCATCTTGCTTCCAGTACTGTACGAACTGCTTTGAGGGCATGAAGGTGTGTAGTCTTCTTGACTAGTAGTGTTCAGTGAGGCTCAACGAGCACTAGGCGTACATGGGACCAGATGGCCAGCCACGCCTCTTCCGCCCCGAAAAGAACATGGCGCGCCTGCAACGCTCTATCGACCGCCTGGCTCTCCCTCCTTTCTCCCCCGACGCTCTCGTGACCCTCATCAAAAAGCTTGTCATGGTAGACAAGCGCTGGATACCCACCGCTCCGGACACTAGTCTATACGTCCGCCCCACCATCATCGGCACGCGTCCAGGCTTCGGTGTTGTCGCGAGCTCAACGCATGCAATCCTGTATGTGTTACTCAGCCCGACCGGAAAGTTCTTCAAGATCCCGAAGGGGGTCTCGCTATTGGCCGTGAACGACAATGTGCGCGCGTGGCCGGGAGGTACCGGTGACTACAAACTGGGTGTCAACTACGCGCCGGGCTTCAGGCCTCAACAGAAGGCTCTCGAGCAGGGTTACCAGCAGATCCTTTGGCTCTTGCACGACAACGTCACTGAGGCTGGCGCCATGAACTTCTTCGTCGCTCTCAAGCGTGATGACGGTGGTACGCGCACTCCACTCTTCTGTCACATTCACATTGCTAAACCTCTCGTAGACATCGACCTCCTCACGCCACCATTGGACGGCACCATCTTACCCGGCGTAACGCGAGAATCTGCCCTCGAGCTCTTCAACGCACATGGAAAAGATACATCCCTTCCCAACCTCTCCAATAAGACAAAGCTGCATGCGCGCGAACAGACCATTACAATGACGGAGATGGCTCAGTGGTACAAGGAGGGCAAGCTGCTTGAGGCGCTCTGCGTGGGCACTGGCGCCGTCGGCACCTCCGTCGCGCGCATCGGATGGAAGGGTGAGGATATTCACTTCCCGGAGTACAGTGGGAACCATATTGGTCCGGTAGCGGCGGCCCTCAGGGAACGCCTGGTTGATATCCAGTCTGGCCGCGTTGAGTGGAAGGGATGGAGTGTGCTCTGCAGTGATGCCTGAAAGGCGTTTGATAGCCGTCAATGCGCTTGATGCTGTAAAAATGTACCACCCAAATGTGTATAACAATGCTCTGTCGCTGCAGGCATGAGGAGCACTGCGAGATTGCACCTGTCACCGCTGCCTCTGCAAGCTCGTCGCTGACTGTGTCGACGGCATCATCAACGTCGAAAGAGCAAGCCAAACACTAGAGTTGCCCAATTCCGGGAGCACCGGACCGGCTTTCCGGGCTGGACCTCCGAGTCGGCACCGTCCGCGCGTCGTGGCGTCCAACCTCGCCTCATGTTCGCAACCACAACCTGGTCGACACATGCTCTCCCCCATTGTCTTCAACTCATCTCGAGATCTCTTCCTTTGTCCGGGCAGATAGTCGTACGTGACTCACGATGCGATGCAGTCCCTCGGTAGCCCTCGTTCCCCGACAACAATACGATCAGCTTCTGCATCTCTCAGTAGTTCGGGGCAGCCTCTGCGCTAGCCTGTCCTGAGTCCTCTCGACCTTATCTTCTAGGGCTAGGCGAGATAGGTGCATGCAGGCTTCAGTCCGCCCGGAATTCAGGGGACGAGGAACGATTGTTAGGCCTTGTTAGGCCCTGTTAGGCTCTGATGCAGAATAACACCTGGCCCCACCCGACAATTGGGCGCCATTGTTCTCCGATTGTCCTGCCTCACTCGCGTGAGAGTCCGCCCGCGAGATGGCCCTGGTACTCGGGCCCTTGTTTTCCGGCCGAAGGCTTCTTCGCTCTTGTTAGAGTCGGAGTTGTAAATCACGGTGGCGGCACAACTTGAGCTGCACCACCGTTTAAAGCATTCCTGCACTTACCCCCGTCTCCTCTTGACCCAGCCACCACCTTTGAGCGCGCATCACATTTCTCTGCTCTACCTCTACTTGCTTCCGTCTGCTAACAAACCAAGCTCACTACTCACAAACCAACGCCAACATGATTCCTATCGGGATCGTGTACCTCTTCATGGGCGCACTCACCGGTCTCATCGCCGGCTGGTCCGCCCGCGACCACCCAGGTCTCATCCTCAGCATTCGCACTCTCACCGGTCTCAAATCCTTCGATATCGCCGCTTCCGTACCCCAGGCCACCGTCACCGTCAACCCCGTCAGCACCGTTAGCGAGTCCGTCCCGCGCGCCACCGTCACCCTGGACCACCCGTGGACGCCACAGCACCTGCTCCTCGATAGTGTGCCGGCTAACAAGTTTGTTCGCGTTCCGGTTAACGCGCTCAGCTTCTTCCCCGGTGATCTCGATGCCTTCGTCCGCGCTGCCGTAGCATCTGCTGCTCCTTCGCCTATTGTTAAGCCGGTTGCTACCTTCGTCGCCACCGAGGAGCAATTGTCACCTCCGGTCTCTACCTTCGAGACTCTGTTCAAGGTTCCGGTCATCGAAAAGGAGGTCTCGCTCGCTATTGCCATTGCCGTCCTTGCGGTACGTTTTCCTAGCTATGTCCTTCTCATGCCCGAGGCTGACGTAACGTAGACTTTGGGCATGCTACTTGGGTGCATTGTCGCCACATCTGTCTTGCTTTGCCTCGCCAAGAAGCAGACTAGCTCAACCAGTGCCAGATCTCAACGCAATATGAAGGTACGCCCACTCCTTTGAAGAGATTGTAGCTACTCACCCTCGACATAGCTCACCTTCTACGACCCGGATCAGCCGAACTACATCGACTCGGTGATTCCGTCCCCGCCAACGAACAACATTATGCTTCCCATTCAGTCTGTCACCCAGTCGCAGCTTGAGTCCGTCCTCAAGCAGGACGTTGTACTCGCTCCTGGTTATGTTTCTCCATCCGTCCCGGCCAACAACAACAACGTGGATTCTGCCGTTATGCCCATCCCCAGCCCTGTTCTCTCGCAAGATTCTACCACTGACACAGCAGTCGACCTTGACCAGTCTAAGCTTGAGGTTGGTACTTCTGCGACCAACCTCGCTACTGGTCACTCGCAGGTTCCCGCTTCACCTAGCCCGGACCTCGCGAGCGTGGACGCCGTCACCCCCAACGATAAGCCTATGCCCCAATCTTCTCGCAACGATTCTGTACGGTCGCCGCTTGGACGCAATGTCGATCAAGCTCCTATAGGACGTTCCCCCCACACTCTCGAAACGCCATGTAAGACGAAAAGAACACTCCCATGGAGCCCACGTCCGCCGCGCGCACTGCCTACACGTCGCCGGCCAGAACCAGCGGTCCCACGCTATACACCGGATCCCCGGCCTGTTCCCGCCGCCGTCACCCAAACACCTGAGCCGGATCACGCCCCTTCTACCCATCAATCTCTCAACGCTCTACCTCCCGCTCAGGTTGTACCCACTTCGACCTCCATCGACTCCGATTTCGCCCCTTCCACCCACACCAATACTTCTGCCTCTGAGCAGACCAACTGTTCGGACTCGCCGCTCGCTCCCGCATCGCTCGACGTTACCACTTCTTCACCTAAGGTCGCCACCGCCGTCGAGGATGTCGCGAACGAGCTCACGCCACTGGAGGTCGTCGATGCTATCCCGGATATGAATGCCAACAAGGTGAGAGCCCACCGCCCTACATGGCAATACATATACTTATCGTTTCTCTCGTGTTTAGGTTGACTCTATAGTCGAGGATGCGATCAAGGTCGAGGTTGAGCACGTCGCTCAGGCTCCGACCTCAACTTCCGCTTCGCCACAGACCGACTCTACGGCATTGCCTGCTGATCTTCCTGCTCTCTTCGATGCCGCCTACGCTCCTGAAGCCGTACCTGGAACTGCCGCCGCCCTCAAAGACGCCGAGGGCGAGGCTCTAACAGAGGCTGCCCATGTGGATCTAGAGATCAACACGGATGAGGTAAGAGCTTGCATTTTGGCGCATCTGATCTGAGCACTGATGACGACCTGTTCGCACAGAAGAACCTGCTTGTATCGACGTCTGCGTCAGATCCTGCTATTGTCTCTCGTTCTCCGACTCCAGCTCCGGTTCTTACCAGCCTTCCCGAAACGCCGCTCGCCCTCGTCGACTTCGCCGTTCAGGATACGCCTACTGACGTTGCCTTCGTCGACGAGCCGGCCTGTGATGAACCTATTTCTGTGGCGATTGAGGATCTGAAGGAAGAGCCCAACACTGACGAGGTCAGATCTCGTCGCGCCTTGTCCGGAGATTTATATACTAATCATCACGTCTGCACTCAGGTTCTCCTCGTCTCGGCCCAGACAGAATCCGACTTTGTTTCCACCGTGGAAGAGCCCGCTCTCGCTTCAGCGCAGACCAACTCTCCAGAGTCTCTGTTGACTCCTGCCGAACCCGTCGCGGCTTTTGTCGCTACAGAGGACGCCGATGCCGTCGAGGATCGTGAGAAGGGATCAACTCTGGAAGAGATTGACTTCGTTGGTTCCGAACGCATCAACTTCAAGGAGGTAAGGGCCGTCAATTCATTTGCGCCCAGTCAGCTCATGTTCATCATTCTTCTCAGGACGTGCTCGCCTCTTCAGTCGCTGTCGAAGTATCGGCTTCCTCCCCAGATGAGAGCGAACACGTCGACCCATCCTTGGCCCTTGCTACTCCCGCTGCGACGCTCTGCACAACTGAGCTAGCCACTGCTGTTGAGGACGTCGTGGATGTTATCACGGAGGTTGCGGCAGTAGAGGTCGGCAATCCACTATGTCCTCTTTGTTCATCCTCTGAACCTTGCATCTATAGGGTTTGCTGACGACTGCCGCTCGCGACAATGCCCCCCGATTCACACCTACAACGCAGTTGGCGGATCTTGACGTGGCCCTTGTTCAGCCGTCTTCGCCTGTTCAAACGGTACCCGTGCTGGAGCAGGAGCTCGAGTTGAAGTCGAAGGCGAGCCCGCCGACTCTATGGTTCCCAGAGGTATGCGATCTTTTCTTTCTGCAGTGCCCCTCCCACTCAACTTCCCTTCTCCAGTATCCAACGGCCAACGCAGAGGCATCATCCAGTGGTAGTTCTGCTTCTGGCTTGCCCCTATGCTTGGCTACGGTATGTCTATCGCCTGGTCCTCCTCTTTCGCAAATGCTGATCAACATACAATAGGATGATGCTTCGAGGGAAGGGCTCGAGGAAGTTTATACCACGGATTGCCTGTCTTGGGCAGACAAGGAGAAGTGGACGGCTCTCACGTCTGATGTACTGCCACAAGATACGCAGAAAGCGGAATACGACGCCCCGCCGGAGGACAATAGCGCCTCGACGAACACACAAGGTTCTGCGAGGCGGTCATCGCCGTCTTGCGTGTGTAGCGTGTGTATTCATCGTCGCGAACGGCCGCTTCTGCCAACGGACAAGAAATCGTCGCGGAAGTCTTCCGCGGCATCGGGTTCTTCTGCTGCATGGGGCTCTTCTATTGCATGGGGCGCTTCTGTTGCATCGGGCTCTTCTGTTGCATCGGGCTCTTCTGTTGCGTCGGGCTCTTCCTCTGCATCAGGTGACATCGGATCGCGCGAGTACGATGTAAACTTGCAGCGAGCTATCTTCAACAGTTATCAGCAGCAGCCGAAGACCGAAGCCAGAACCGCTTCATTCTCAAGACCAGGGCCGTCAAACGCTACAGCATCAGCGAGTCCATCGATCGCCACTGCCTCTACGGTACAACCACGAGTGGAGGAAGCCCCGGTTGGAACGGCCTCTTCTGAGGAAATGACGGCGGTCGAGAGTCTTCTGGCTTTGAGAAGCACTTCTCAAACGCTGCCCTCTCCTCCGCCTACCACGCCTGCCTCCTCTGCGAGATCTATCTTGTCCGAACTCCCGGGCATTCTGATCCCGCACGGCCCGCCGGACGAAGCGATTGCATCTCCATACGCTCAGGCGCCCGATCCCCTGGCATATGTCTCCAAGTCTGCCGAGACCAAGCAGTCTACGCCTATCGAGGCTTCCACAGCGGTGCTGGACGGGAGCCAACTTCGCAAAAACATCCTCCTCGGGGCGCTTGAATATAACCGACGCTCGCGGGAGGCGTTGCAGCACCATGTCTCCCTCGAATCGCACGACGTTGTTCCTTGCGAAGCGGTGGCGGGCGCACTCGCCGAGTCCTTCTATCCTTCACCCGCACCAACACTCAGTCCTTCAGTATCATCAACACAAGAGCTTTCCTCGACTGTTAACGCTGCGGAAACCTTCAGCGACGAGACCGCTCACGCGCTACCAATCGATCCCTCATTCGTGCTCGAGCCCTCCAGCCTTGCCGAGCAATGGAGCGTAATTGCCAGTGCGCTGCAGTCTCCAACTCCGCTCGTGGACACGCCAGAGCCGCCCACACCAAACTTTACCCTTCCCGTGCAAGAGCCTGGCGTCGCGACTTCGGCTCTGACGAGTATCGACTCCGCATATACCATGCCGACCGATGATTCGATGGGCGGAGATTTGGACCACAAGCCATATGCAGACAGCGCCGACGCTCATGAGAAGGTGGCACCCGGCTTACCCGCTTCCTTCGACGAACTGGGTATGGACATCGATCTTGGGTACTCGTCTTCCGCCGACGCCGGCGCCTTCGACTACTTTGGGCCTCTGAAAGATGCACCCTCCGATACGGCCATGTCGATCGACGAGAGCAGCGGCTCTGGGACAGCCATGGACACTGACGGCAATGAGCTGGCTGCGCCTACATCCGTGCCAACCCAGGTTATCGATGTTCAGCCGGTCCAAATGCTCGACGCCATCGCTCCTCCCGTCGCGCCCGAGCTCGCTTCGTTTGACGACGTCGTAATGGAGCAACCCGTTCCGCGTCAACACACACCGCCGCCTCTCAGCCTGCCGCTCTTGGGCCCCTTCACAGCAGGTGCGCGGTTCCATTGGGACAACTATCAGGACTGGAACCCTTCGTCTGAGAACTACTCGAACGGATACATCCCGACCAGGCCGCATTCTCCCGTAGACGACGGCGATGTCCAGATGGGTTCTTCCTCGTGGCGCTCGGCTCCACCAGTAGCAGGTCCTTCCTCTGGGTCTGCGTTCGGCCCCCACAATGCGCCTACGCCGCCGCTGCCACCTCGTTCTTATATGCCCTTCGAGATCGACCTCGATCTCGGCGGCGACGATGGCGATGATGAGAATGATGACGACGACGACGCGCCTCAGCCTCCTGCCGGCGGTGCGGCGGTGACCGTGTCCCCAGCGACAGTCTTGAGCGACGAGCTACACCAGCAGCTCAGGAGGACGCTACTTCGGCGTCCTTCGCTTGAGGATGTCCCGAACGCCGATGACTTCGTGGAGAGGCGCACGTTCGACCCTTCGCGGCGGCCGCCGGGTACCTTCAGACCGCTCCCGGCGGCTGATGAGTCTTCGACGGAGGAGTATTATGTCCGCCTGCTGGCCCAGCAGACGACGCCGAAGGCCTGGAACTACGTCCGGGACCTCATCTCGTTCGAAGGGAACCGCCGAGGGGATCGGAATCTGCTTGAGAGGGTCGAGCGGATGAAGGAGCAGAAGGAGGAGCAGGAGCGGAAGGAGCAGGAGCGGAAGGAGCAGGAGAGGAAGAAGCAGGAACTGATGAGGCAGATTGAGGAGGAGGACGCGAAGATTGCGGCCGCGAAGAAGATCAAAGAGGAGAAGAAGGCGCAGAAGGCAGCACAAGACGCGGAATTGGCGGCCAAGAACGCGAGACTGGCGAAGCAGATGCAGACCGCATTTCCCGGACTCAAGAACGCCAAAACTACGACGCCTTCACCACTCGGCCCCGGTTCGTCACGCAAGCCCTTGCCGTCTCGTCTCGTCGACGCCTCGCTCCCCACCGCCGATATCACGTTCGCCGCATCGCCCTCGCCCTCTTCCTCTTCCGCTCGGACTTCGCTTGCCGAGCAAGGTCTGGAGGCGTTCGCGCAACAGGAGCAAAGCTGGTCCACGCCGCCTATTCAGCGCGTCGAAGGCTACGGCCACGGTCCCGCGCCGATACTTCCCCGACCTGCACCTCCCGCACCTC